TCCTACCCACGGTGCTGGGGGCCACAGCACCTCCCCTCCCTGAGCCTGTGTCCTCCTGAGCCGGGAGGACCGTCTCAGAGGTTTGCCAGTATGAGGGGAGGCTACATATGTCGAGGCCTTAGGCACTGAGGGAGCGTTCCTTGGGCGTGCAGTTGGCAGTCAGCAAATGACAGCTCTTCCCCCGGCAATCGGAGGCCCAGAGCAGGTCCTGGGGGGCGGCCGGGGCTGCTTGCGTGCCTGGGGCGTGAAGACAGGATTCCAGGCTCGGCCAAGTGAGCTGCCCTTCTCCAGCGCAGTTGTTCAAAGCACCAGGAGGCAGCTGTGCATTCGCTTCTGCTTCTCCCTCTGTGGGAGGGCACTTTCCTCAGCTGTCTCCTCTCCCCGGGGAACTCCTATGCATACTTCAAAACCCGCCTCCCGTGGCCCCTCCTTTTGGTGCCTTCCTGATTGCTGAGTCAGCGTCCTACCTTCTTGAATTCCTGCTAGTCCTGGTGGGGAGGATCTGTGCCTTCTGCCCTAGTCTCAGGTGACAGAGGACACTTTGTTCGATGGATAGGCGGTGAGTGGCTAAATGAGTGACTAGCTCTCCCAGCACTCACCCCTGCCTGAGATCACCCAGAGGCCTCCGCTCACTGACCCCTGCCCGCTGTGATCTCCCTGAGAGCCAGGGCCCAGCTGGGGGTTTTGTTCGTGTCTGTCTCATACTGTTCTCGGTACGCAGCGTGTGCCTACTAGGAGTCAGAGTGACTCAGACGAGAAAGAGGGGCAGGAAAGCCGAGCCTGCATTCTGCAAGCGCCAACTCAGGGTCAGGACGGTGCTGGGCATTTTGGATTCTTTCTCTGCCTCCTACCAAGCCCGGGTCTCAGACGTGGGTCGTGAGGCAGAAGGGCTCTCGTGGTAGAGGAGTCAGGATTTAAACCGTGGATTCTGGACGACTGAGAGCTCTTGCCACTCCTCCTCTGTGCCTTCCAGGGAGCTGATGCTCGAATGAATGAATGGATGGATAGATGGACTAATGGGTGACGGGGTTCTCATGAGAATCTTGCCACCTCCTTCCTGTCTCGCCCCAGCCTCCCGCCAGGCCTGTCCCTGGGGCAGCCGGCTCATCTGGCTCAGCGCTTTTATTTAGGGCCACAGAATGAAACCGTGCGTCCGCAGGACCCGTCAGATTTTCCTGCAGGGCCCCCGCCTTCCCCGGCTCTTGAAGCGGCAGCTGCTGGCCCCTCCCACCCCCTGCCAATCAGACCCCATTGTCCTGCGGCATCTGGAGAGCTCTGCAAATTGCCAGCCCCGCCCGAAAGGCTCGCTCAGCATCCTTGGAGAGAAGCCGTCTGCGCCTCTCTTACAAGCACCAGTTCCTAAAAGGCTGGTGATTGCGTCCTCAGCGCTCCTGCGGGGCCTGCCCAGCGCCTGGGAGTGGCGGAAAAAGCCCCAGATGGCTGGGGCGGCGTGGGGGGGTCGGTGATTATCACTGAGCAGGAAGTGGGCTTGGCCTGCTGTGAGCAGGGAACGCGGTTCTAAAATACCTCAGCCGTCCTCCCCCCAACCTGTGCTCCTGCCTGTCCCCGGGGGGCGTCTCTAATGGGTGGGACCGCGTCACCGTCTCCGGGAGGTTTGCGAGCACCTTGGTGGGGGGGCGGGGGGGAAGGTTCCAGCCCCACCCCAGCTCCCACTAACGGTCACGGTGGCCACCAACGTGGACCAGCAACGCAACCCTGCCGTGCGCCAGACACCTGCCTCCTAGCGTGCGATGTGGCATCCCTGGCGTCTGTTCACGAGCCAGCGAAACGCGTCCTGAGGCTTCAGTCTGCTCTCCCATCCTCCCGGAATTCCCAGGGAGGTCGAGCGCTTTACTTCGGGCCACACAGCCTTGCGGGTGCAGACCCGACCAGAAGCTCGCGCTCGCTGGAGTCAGCTCGGGCTCCTCCTGCGCCCTCTGCCCAGCCTGTGGCTGCGGGCGGGCCCCTGGCTTCTCTCTGCCCTCAGTTTCTGCATCTGTACTGTGGGTCCGAGGAGAAGGCAGGGCTGCATAGGACCTCGCCCTGATTCCAGATCAGGGCTCCAGGCGCCACCCCCATCATTGCCTCCTCAGGCAAACCTCGGCGGTGGGCAGGGTGCTCCCCCCTACCCCGCACCCATTTATCAGACAAGGGGCGATTCCCCAGGTCCGGGGTTGAGCCCCTCCCTGAGATGTTGCTCTTCCTCTGGGAGCTCGCGGCCTCCTAAGGGACAGTGGCCAGCGGGTGCGCCCCGAACCTGGGGCTCTGGAGTCAGACCTGGGGTGGGGGCCCCCAGCACGTGTTGGGTGAAAATGTGTATTAAGTGATGCTGGTGAGACAATGAATCAGGGGGCCCGCGAGGCTTGGGATGGGAACAGGTCCCGCCCCCAGGAGCGGTGTGGGACCCGGTGGAGGTCAACTGGCCCACTGATTGGCCGGGGACGGCTGCACCAACCAGGTCCTGAGAACGGAGCCCGGGACCCGAGTGAGAGCTTGCCCGGGGGTGGCCGAGGGGCCTCTTTAGCGGCGTTTGGGCCGCGATCTCAGTGAGAGAAGGAGCAGGCGCTGGGGCGGGGGAGGCGGGGGGTGGGGGGTGGGGGGGGTGCAGAGCCCTGCTGGTGGCCGGGGCTCCGCAGGCCTTCGGAGCACAGGGGTCTGGGGCCCTCGGGGTCAGGAGAGGGCGCGGCAGCTGGGAACGAGCCCTGTTCCAGGGGTGCAGAGCGGGCCCCAGAGGCCCGGCCGGGCGTCTGGACGCCGGTGGGGCGCGGGGGCGCCTGGTGGGCTGGGCCTCCGGGTCTCCGTGGGTACCGGGTTTTGCACGGGCCTCCGTTCCCGACTGCGCGGCTGCCCTCTGCTGGGGCGTCTGAGTATTACACCCACGGTGTTGGGCGGGACCAACCCCCGAACTTCCCCGAGAACTTCATGGGAACGTCCCTGGGATTCCGGGTTCTCAGGGGTGACAGGCGCTCCCCAAGCCTCCTTCTGCCGCGATTAGTCCTTGCTTGCTTACCCCTAGGGCCAGGGAGCTCATCCCCTTGTGAGGCAGTCGGTTTCAGCTCCGCACCGCACACATCAGTTTGCACGTGGTTTCCTCCCAGCCTCAGCCCTGCCCGCTGGGTCTCAGGCCCGCTACCCTGATCCGGGCTGGGCTTTTCCAGTTGCCCCGGGCCCTGCCCACCCTGGCCTCACCCAGAAGCCTTATGCCTGACCGACCATCCTCCATACCGGAGCTCGGAGCCTGGACCAAGAAGAGAGCCCGGCGGGAAGTCCCGACGCCCTTCGCTCCTGCACGGGATGCGGCCTTCTCAGGAAGATCCCTGCAGACCTCCCAACTGTGCCCCTCGGCGTTCCCTGAATCCACAGGGAGGCTGGCCGGGGGCTGGCCTTGGGGACCAGCCGGGCAGTGACTGAGTCCGAGCCCAGCTGCAGCACAGGGCGCCCCGGAACGCCGCGGGCTCAGCTCACCATGCCCTTCCAGGACCGTCCAGAGCCCCGGCCCCTGCTGCTGCGCAGGAGGTGTTTCCAGGGAGTCCAAGAGGAGAGGAGAGGGGCGAAGAGGAAAGTGAGCAGGCTCAGGCAGCTGGGGAGGCGGGCCTGAGACCCAGGGGGCAGGGCTGAGGCTGGCAGGAAACCACGTGCAAACTGACGTGTGCGGTGCGGAGCTGAAACCGACTGCCTCACAAGGGGATGAGCTCCCTGGCCCTAGGGGTAAGCAAGCAAGGACCCATCAGGGCAGAAGGAGGCTTGGGTAGCGCCTGTCATCCCTGAGGACCCGGGATCCCAGGGACGTTCCCATGAAGTTCTCGGGGAAGTTCGGGGGTTGGTCCCGCCCAACACCGTGGGTGTAACGCTCAACTCCATCCGTCACACAGCCCGATCGTCAGATACTGTCTGAGAACTTGCCGTGTGCCCGGCCCCGTCCTGAGCGTCGAGGACACATCAGGGACTAAAAGAGACAGAGCCCCTTGTGCTCATGGAGTCTGACACTCAGTGAGAACAGGCAGGCAGCCACGAGACGCGGTGCTTTCAGAGGCGGTACGTGCTCTGAGGATGGAGGCGCAGGGGACCGAGCCGGGCCGGGGAGGCCCCTCTGAGCAGAGACCGGAGTGAGGAAACCCTGGGGGAACACATTATTTATGCCTCCTTGCTTATTTTTTTAACAAAAACGAATTATATTTTAATTGATACAGTGTAGAGTTCACCCACTTGAGGTGCGCAGTGTCCTGCGCTTTAGTGTATTCAGAATTGTGTGGCCATCAGCGCCATCAGTCCTAGAACCTTTTTGTCATCCTGAAAGAAACCCTGTGTCCGCTAGCGTCACCCTCATCCCTGCGCTGACCCAGCCCCCGGCAGCTTCTCCTCCACTTCCCTCCGCGGTTCCGCCTCTTCTGTACACTTCGTGTAAATGGACTCCTACGGCCCTCGTCTTTTGTGACTGGCTCCTTTCACGTGGGCCGTGTTTTCACGGCTCATTCACGCTGTGACACCCATCCACACTTCACTGCTACTGTAGGCGAGCTGTGTCCTGCTGTGTGCACGTGTGCTTGCTAAGTCGCTCCGTCGGGTCTGACTCTGCAGCCCATGGACTGCAGCCCGCCAGGCTCCTCTGTCCATGGGATTCTGCAGGCTGGAACACTGGAGTGGTTGGCCAGGGCACCTTCCCGACCCAGGGGTCGAACCCGCATCTCATGTCTCCTGCCTTGGCAGGTGGGTTCTTTACCACTAGGTGTGTACATATAATTCATTTTATTGACCCCTCCTCAGCGGGTGGACGTAAAGGCCGTTTCCCCTTTTTTGGCTGTTATGACTAATGCTGCTGTGAGCATCCGAGTACAGGTTTTTGTGTGGACGTGTTTCCAGCGCTCGTGGGCGTGGGTGTAGGTCACACGGTCACTCCGTGTGTAACACGTGAGGGACAGGCCGGCTGTCTTTCGCAGAGTCCGCAGCATTTCCGTCCCCACCAGCAGTGTGTGGGGGCCCCCGCCTCCCCACACCCTCACCAGCACGTGTTCTTGCCCAGTTTCGATCCTGGGGGGCGGGACGCAGTTTCGGCCCGTGCTTCGGGTTTGCATTTCCCTGAAGACAAGCAATCCGAGCACTGGCCATTCATGTATCTTCTTTGGAGAAGTGTCTGTGCAGATACTTTGACCCGCATTTGCTTGTTTTTGAAAATGAAAGCCAATGACTCCACAAGAAGATTGCCAGAGAGCTCAATGGGAGTGGCCGCCTTTGTTGGGCGGGGTGAGAAGGTGGGGCCAGTGGCGGGGCCCAGATTTCACTATGAGTCGTGTACGCTTTTGGCTTTTGAATCCTGCGAATGTATTATAAAATTACGTTTTTTAAGTAAAATGTGAAAAAGAATAACTACAGGAAGCCATCCAAGGTGGTCCTCAGTGTCCCCGGACGCAGATATCTGAAGCTCGTTTAGGGAAACCCGTTTGGGGCCTGACTGGGGCCGGGTAGACGTGGTCGCCCTGCCTGCCCAGGGGCCTCGCCGACCCCTCACTCAGCCCCGGCGGGTCCCCAGCTCCCCTTCTATGGCAGGATGGCCGCCCTGCCACACCCCTCAGCCGCGAGTTAGATGAAAACCCCTTCGGTGAGACAGCAGGATGGGAGTCTGGCTGTGAGCGGGGAGGCCGCTGTGGTCCCCGTGTGCTGCCCTGCGGTCAGGGTGGCCGGGGGACCAGGGACGCCCAGGCTCGGCCCCTCTGCACGAGCGTGCCCCTGGCTGAGCACGGGCGTCCCTGCCCAGGGATCCAAGCCGAGATCAGTCCTGATCCCACATCAGACGCGGGGAGTCGGCTCCCCCTGCGTGGCCCGCTCGCTAAGATACTCAAACATGTTCCTGCCGGGAGTTGCAGACTGTGCCGAGCCTTGGACTGACCCCGTCTGCAGCTCTGCCGTCCTGCCCCCCCGCAGACCCCCAGCACCTGCAGGGAAGGCGTTACTGCTCAACGCGGCAGAGGTGTTTCTGCGTATATATTCATATATTCCGAATGTCCCCCCTGGGCAAAGGCCCCGGGGCAGGAGCGGGCTTGCCCAGGGAAAGAGGCCACTGTGCCTGGGCAGTGAGTACGGAGGGGACGAGAGACGGGCAGCGGGCCGCGCAGGCCGGGCGCCTCCTCGCGCGGACTTCGGCTCCTGCTCTGAGTGAGGTGGGCCCAGAGGGTGCTGAGCAGAGCAGCAGCGTGCTCTCGCTTTCAGCCAGAGGAGCGTCTGGCTGCCGTTGGGAGGTGCAGGTGGGAAGCCAGGGCGCAGGTGGGCGCAGAGGCAGGGAGGAGCAGGCGTCCGTCGGTGCGGGGGTTGTGGGGGTGGCTGGCCTCCTCCTGAACGTCTGTCTGAGCAAAAGCGACTCGGAGGCCACGGGACCTCCGGCTGGGAGTCGGCGCAGGGTGCAGGCTGGAAGCATAACCGTGGGCATCATCACAGCCCAGGTTGGACGGGAGGCAGACAAGGGAGGGGGGTGAGGGGGCCGGGAGGAGCCGGGCGCTCAGACCTGGACGGGCGGACAAGGGGACGCCCTCAGCCGGCTCGCGGCTGTGGCCCCGCGCCTGGCAGGCGCCCAGCGGGTGCTCGCTCAGCAGCGGGGAGGAATGAACTGGCACGTGAATGGCTGCTCCTTTGGACCCTTGGGACCCCTGCCGGCAGACCTTCCTTCACCACTCCCAAGGGAGCGCCTACTCTGCCCCAGGCACTCGTTCTAGCAGTGGCGGCAACAAGGGAGCTGGCGACCCCGTGGGAGCGGTGGATGATGACTGCCCAAACCCATCAGCGTGAAGCTTCAGGCCTAGGTCCCGCCAGGCATGTGGCAGGCAGGCGGCCCTGGGTTCCATTTAGGGTCTTGAAAGAGTCTCCCTTTAAAATGCATTCAAGGGACTTCCCTGATAGTCCTGGGGTGAAGAATCTGCCTGCCAGTGCAGGAGACATGGATTTGATCCCTGGCCCAGGAAGATTCCCCTGTGCCCTGGAGCAGCTAAGCCCGTGAGCCACAGGTCCTAAGAACACTCTGGAGCCCGTGGTCCACAGCAGGAGAAGCCGCCACAATGAGAAGCCGTCACACTGCAATGGAGACCCAGTACAGCCAAAAATACAGAAATGAAGCCATAAATAACAATAATAATATTTTAAAATAATAATAAAATGCATTCAAGCAAAAGAAAAAATCCATTAAAGAAAGCAGTTACTTGGCTATTGCACAAAGGCCTTAGCATATTGATGGTCATCGTGGCAGTGGAGGTTTGGGCTGTTAGTCTCCTTCCCTGCAAGGTGGTGTTATCATCCCATTTTACAGATGGGGAGACTGAGCCCCAGAGACAGGAAGGGCTTGCCTGCAGGCCTCCTGCCCACCCTCTGGGGTGCTTCCTGCACCAAGAGCCTTTTCTTCTTTGAGCAGTAAATTTGGGAGGTCCCTGAAACAGCTGGGGAACTTTCCAGATGCAAATATTCCATCTGGTCCATTAACTAAAATCACAGCAAATAAACTATAATCACAAGACCTATTATTAGTGCGGAGCCACGTAATTACCCGGCAGAGTCACTGTTGGAAGAATCCTCGTCTGGGGGCTGGGGGTTACCAAACCCGTGACGGTGAGGCGTGTGGAGCAAGAAGCCACAGGGTGGTACCTGCGTTTCCGCCGGTCCTGCTGGGCTGAGCCGGGGAGTGTGGTGAGGGCGTGTGTTCATCCCTGCCTGCGGCGGGCGTTTCTTTCGGCTTCCCTGCTGGCTCAGCTGGTAAGGAATTCACCCGCAGTGCCGGAGGCCTGGATTCGACCCCTGGTTGGGAAGATCCCCTGGAGGAGGGCGTGGAAACCCACGCCAGTGTTCTTTCCTGGAGACCCCCGTGGGCAGAGGAGCCTGGCGGGCTACAGCCCATGGACTCGTGAAGAGTCGGACACGACTGACCGAGCATAGCGCAGCGTGGTGTGCGGGCCCCCTCACTGCCCTGAAGGCGCTGTGATGACCACACAGGGATGACCCTGCCCTTGTGGACCCAACGTTCTCTTGGGGGAAGACAGGTGTTGGAAAAAAGAACCATTAAGCAGGATGCTTAATGCTCTGGATGAAATGAAATGGCACTGGGGGGCCGTGTCCATGAGGGTGGGCAGGAAAGGCCGCCCAGGTTGGGGGGGAGCCCTGGGAGGACTGGGAGCGTGTGAGATGGGGGCCTGGGGGAGGGGCACTCTGATGGCGGGAGCAGACGTGCAAAGGCCCTGAGGCAGGAGCCACGCAGTGGGCTGGGGCGGGAGGGGGTGAGTGGCTGCGGGTGCGTGGGGTGGCGGGGTCGGGGAGCCAGGCCAGGCGGCTGCGTCTTATTCTGAGCATCCTGGGAAGCATCTGATCGGTGTTTGTACAAGCCGCCGCAGCACAGCGTGGAGACTGGGCAGTAGCCCCAGTCAAGACAGAGAGGGCTCTGGCGCTCCCGGGAAGAAGAAGCACTCTGGTTCCCTTCTCGGGGTGGCCCCGGCTTTCTCCCGGCCCCCCCCCCGCCCCAGGGCACGGGGACAGACAGGCCTCTCCCCACTGGCCATGAGCTGTCCGTCCCACAGCCCTCGCCGTGGCCATTCTCAGGGAGGACCCTGTGTTTCCGGTTTTCCAGGCTGCAAACGGAGGCTCAGAGACAGCTTGTCACGCTCTGGGGGTCACACAGCAGGTGAGTGGCAGGGTGGGCAGAGCCCATGTCTGCTGGGCGCCCCCCGCCTCGGCCCACCCCAGCCTGCTCGGAAGCAGCCCTCATCTCAGCAGACCGTCCTGTCTCTCTGGGCTGAGCGACCAGAGAACTCAGTCCTCCAGCCTGGGCTGCCGGGGGGCTGCCGGCCCCCGCTGGCCTGGAAACCAGCCCACTCCCCAGGCCCCTCCCTGGGTGAGGATGAACGGGTGAGCAGACGGGCCTGTGGCCCCCTGGAGGTTGGGGAGAGGAGACCGGGGCCAGGGGGACCCATCCCCAGACGGGAATCGCAGGGAACGGGGCCGGGCCCCCAGGCAGGCAGCAGGGAGCAAGGCCCAAGCCCGCATCCCACCCCAGACCTACGCGCTCCTCCGCCCTGCAGGGCCTGTCTCCTCTGCCTGATACAACAGCTCCGGGGCGTTTCGGCTGCTTTTAGGCGCCTGGGGAGTTTCCTGTAATAATATATTTTCCCCTTATTATAGTTAATTCATGTGGTAGAACATCTGAAAAGTAAATTAGAATGAGAAAGGAATTAAAGCTGATCGGTGACCCGTACTCAGGGCCAGCTGTCGACGTGCCGTTTTTCTGGCTGTGTCTCGGTCACATTCTTAGGTGGGTGCCGAAGACATGCTTTGAGAACCTGTCTTTTTTCTTAAGCAGCGGTCACTAATGTCCGTGTCTGTCGACATTCCCTCTGAAGGCTGCGTGATAACCCCGTGATGGGTGGGGATTGTGAGATGCCTAATTTGCCTTTCAGTGTTTATGGCTGTTGTAAATAGTACCGTGATGAGCATGAGGCTTCGGGCCTGTTTTGAATTCTTATTTGCTGAGAAGTGTTGCTCCTGTCTTATCTTAGACCCTGGGGGCGCGGGGACAGGGCCTCTGTGTTGGGACAGGGAGGATGTTGGACCCCTGGGAAGGATGTGGGGTGGGTGGGGGCAGTGGGGGCCTGGGGCTGTGGCCAGAGCTCCCCGGGTCTCCCCGCCTCCGTCACTGGCTTTCCCTTCTCTCTTAGGCGTCCGTGCCCCCGGACTCCGCTGACCTCCCCTCCGAACCCCACTCACACCCTCCCTTCTTCCCCAGAGCCGAGCCTCCAGCCCGACCCTTAGATGCTCCTGGGCACTGTCTGTAAGTGGCCCCCAGCCCCGCACAGCAGCACGTCCGAGGGGACGGTTGCCACTCTCCCACCCACACCCCTTCCTGTGTCCCCAGGAGGATAAGCGGTGCCACCAGCCACCAGCCTCCAAGCCAGGGACCCACCCCTCGCCCTTGTCCCCAGGCCTTGTCCTCAGATCCCACCCCCATGAGGGTCTGCACACACCCCTTCCCTCCACCCCTCCCAACGCCGTGGCAGGCCTCCCTGCCCTCCCCCCTCCAGAGCCTCGAGTCTGCCCCCCACCCCCATCCCCCATGAACGTCTCATCACGCGCCCCTCCTCGGCGCCCCATTCCCCTAGACGAAGCCCAAGCCCCTCGAAGGCTGAGGCCCCTCGCCCCGCGCTTCTCAGCTCCAGCCTCTGCACAGGCTGTTCCACCTGCTGGGAACGCCTTTCCACGCACCGTCAGAGACAGGTTCCCACCCATCCTTCCAGGCTCAGCTTCCACATGCTGCCCTCCGGGGAACTTCCATTTTTGCTTCCCATTTCCCTTTTCCCCAAGAACTCGCCCCTCCTTGTCTCACTCAGATATCCTGTGGGACGTCTAGGCAAACAGTCCCTCGATATTCTGATACTCCCTCAGCATCATAGCTGTGAAAAGGCAGAGGAGTTAGGGCTGGCCCTGGTGAGACAGGGTTATCGCGCACCTGACCTCGCAGCTTCAGGCGCAGCTGCCTCCAGACGCTGCAGTGCCGACCCTGGGGCCCTGTCTCTCCCGCTCCCCGCCCAGCCCCTTCTCAGGGGCCCAGGCAGAGCGGCAGCTCCCCTGTCTCAGGTCTAAGCTCAAGTGCAGATTGGGAGAGTCTGCGCCCCAGTCGAGTCGGGCTTCTGAGTCCCAAGCCCGAACCTGAGCTGGGAGAGGAGTCAGCCCCACCGGAGCCAGAGGCACTAAGGGGGCGCCCAGGTTGCTGCAGGAGGGGAGCTGGGGGCCCAAGGCCCACCGCGGCCCCGGGAGCCCACTGGCTCCCTCCAGGCAGGAGACGCAGGCTGTGTCTCACATTCTGCCCTCCCTGCCGGGACGCGGCCTGGCCCTGGGGCAGCGTTAGTCAGCATTTCATGGATGAAGGAGCAAGTGGGTAGAGGATTAGTGCTGCTCTGTGGTCGGAACGCTCCCGGCCCGGGGGCTGGGCAGCGATGCCCCCCTCCTGGCCCCCAAATACCCACAGAGCCCGGCCCCACGAGGACCCGGGAGGAGACCAGCCCCTCGGGGCGCTGCCCCCTCACCCGGACCTCAGAGGCCTCGGCCCTGCCCCAGGGAGCAGCCCTAATCCCCAAAGACAGACAGACAGACACAAACACAGCCCTCGAGCTGAGATGGCGGTGAGCCTTCGGGAAAAGGAACCGGTCTAACCAGCCTGCCAGGGGCACGGAATTTACTGTAGTGGCTAGAAGATTTGCTTTTCAGTGAAAATTACTTTAGACATAAAAGTAACCGAACAATGGAAGCAAGGGGAGCTGTTGTGCGGTCTCTGTGAGCCGCCAGGGCTCCGGGGGGCCCGCCCACCCTCACTCCCGCCTCTCGGCCTGGCTGGGGGCACCAGGGGGACTGGAGGCCTCAGCCCGACTCTCCTGACCCGAGGCCTGGCCACTTTCAGTTCCGCGAACTTTCCAGGCACCCAGCCCGGCTCTGGAACAACAGCGGCACCTGCGCGCTCACTGAGGCTTTGGGCCGAGGCCACGCGTGGTCCCCCACCCCGAGACCTGCAGCCGGCAGCGGAGCTGGCTCCTGGGCTTGACCACTGGCTGCTCTGTCCGCTGAGAAGGTGGGGGCACAGGTGCAGACCTGGAGGGGCCCAGCGTCCTGACACACTCGGGCCATCGCCTCTAGTTCGGTGTCTGGTCGTCCCGCGCCGACCTTGGGAAGGCCAGGCAGGCCCACCTGTGCCTTCCCGGCCGCTCCATCCTGCACCCCCACGGGCTCCTGATGAGGGCTCTCAGGGCCCCCCGGCCCACCTGCTCTCGCCCTGCGGGTGAGCAGGATGCAGAGGCCCGGGCAGAAGCAGACACCGCCCGCCCGAGGCGGGTCCCCACGCCTCCTGCCTCCAGCCTCCAGCCCAAGTGCCGCCTGTCAGGACCCTGTGCCCCAGGTCGCGGGACGGGGCACCGCGGGCGTTTGGTGCCCTGCAGAGGGGCCCTGCCCTGCCCCCGACAGCCCACCCGGTTTCCGGGGATCATCGCTGTGGCCACTTCCTCACCACCTCGGCTCCCTCTGCATGGGGAGCCGGCCACTCAGGGACCCTGGGGGCTGTCCACAGCCTGTGGGGCCCTCCCCACGCCAAGAGCCAAGCCCACGCCTGTGTATCGGGGACTCCGCACAGGCCAGCTCGTGGATCAGGGCTTCCGGGATTCACGTCCTGAGCGTCACGCATCCAGGGGGCATAGAGAGTGCTGGAGAACGGCCCCCGGGGTGGTTCTGTTTGTGCAAAGCCTAGACGTGGGCACAAGCTTTCCTGCCACTTGTTGGGTATCTCTCTCTGCAGGAAAACTGACATCAGACTCACCGTCTGCATCTTTACGCCTTTTGATGTGTTCACATTTTTTATTTTCTAACTGAACGTGATACGGCTTTTTAGGGTCTTCATAGTACTTGTTTCTTTCTGTAAGCACGTGTATGTAGCTGAAGACACAGAAAACATTCTGAAAGGGCCCATCTTAACAGATCAGAGCGGGGAGGTCGGTGGAGACAGCTGAGGGCAGTGAGAACTGGGGGAGCGGTCGAGGGAGCCTTGTTTAAAGAGAAGAGCCTTTCATGTTACGTGTGCAGTTAAGATTTTGCTTCTGTAAAATGTAATGCTTGAGTGAGAAGGGGGAAAAACAATTCCAGACCTTGAAGGATCTGTGATCCTGAGATTTGGAGAGGCAGAATGCAGACAGTTCCGCGTGTTCACGGTTAGAGCAGGATGGGGGCTCCGTGCCACCCCCGTGGGAAGGAAGACGCTGGGACCCCCACCTCCAGCCTGGAAGGTCCTATGACCTGAGGATCGGTTGGCTCCGTGCTCCCGCCCTCTCTGCCAAAGGCCGTGTGCTCCTTTCCGGGGCACAGATGGGCACTGGCCAGCAGCAGGCGGGATGCTCTGTGTGAAGGCGCCTGTCCGCCTGTAGGGTGGAATTTTCCAGTGGAGGCGGGCAGTCCTGGGTGAGAAACGTCCCCCCACCACCTTGAGCCTCTGTTTTCTATCCCGTTGTGGGTCACTTCCAGGGGTCCACAGTGGCCAGGTGGGGGCAGGGGGTGCACGCAGGTATTTCCGGAGTGACCCAGGAGACTGGGTGACTGCTAGGGTGAGGGGTGGTCCCAGCGCCAATACTGTGCCCCAGTCTCAGGCCTGCAGGGGGAGTGGGGGGGTGAGCCTGCCTTTTGAAAGGCCTGCGGCCCTCCGCCGACCCCCCAGGCATCCGGTTCCGTCGGGGAAGCAGCACAACCACTCTGTGCAACGTCCTGCAGCGTCACTTCCCGGCCGTGTGCCCTTGGGCCCGCCCGTGACCTCGGGCTTCACCTCCGGAAAGTGAGCGACAGGCCCCCTCTGATGGCGGAGGGGCAGCCTTGGTGTGATGGGGGCAGAGCCCACGCTCACGCCTGCGCCCCTGCTCACGGGCCCTGCTCGGTGACCTTCGTCACTTCCCAGCAAGACGAGCCTGCGGGTCTCTAGTGAGAATTCAGAGCTGGGATCTCAGCTGCACAATTTTTGGAGACGCCTTTGCACCTGACCCTGCGCTGGACACCCACCGCCAGACATCCAGCAACCCCCCCGCCCCCCCACCCCCAGGTAGCTTGTAAACACCTGCAGTCTTGGAATTTGTGTCTCAACTCCAGGGTCTTCTTCGTTTGCCCTTTTTTGAAATAACAGACTAACGTATAAGAAACACATGTGTAAGTTTGTGAGGAGGACGTGCCCAAAAGCCGTGGGTGTGCAGGTGATATCATGACCCCCAGGGAGGCTCTGAGGGCTGAGACCCAGGAGACCCAGGAAAGAGACGCTGGGACCAGCTCTGCCATCCAGCCGGCTCCCCACCCAGCCACTCTAAGCCTCAGTTTCCTCCTCTTGAAAACGGACGTGATAAAATCATCATCTCTGAGGAGGTTGCGCCTTGGCTCCGCCGCTGCGTGGAGGTGAGTCCCCTCTGGGTGGGAGGGGCTCTGAGAAGTCACTGAACATTGAACCGGAGCACAACCAGCCTCATGGAGCCCCGAGTTGTAGCTGCTGTTATTTTGGGGTCATGTTTAAAATCCCAGGCAGCTCCAGTGAGGGGAGAGGGGGGCGGGCTCTAAGGCAGGGCCAGCCCACTTATCTGGTAGCCTTCTACTCGGGAGGGAAGGCTCTGCTGGGGGAAGGTGGGTCCTTCCCAGGCGCTGCTCAGGAAGCGTCGAGCAGTCCCGATGCCCGCCACCGCCGTCGCCAGCCGCCGACTCCACTCCGACCCCTCGTGAGGGCCTGCCACCAGCACTGGGCCCCATCTCTGCCACTGGTTGCTGTGCGGTTTCAGGCAAGTCTCTTGCCCTCTCTGAGTTCTGTTTGCTCCGTTGTAAGGGAAGGAACAAAAGTAAAGGATGCCGCAGCCGCCCTGCCCCTAAACCCAGCGGGTCTGAGCCCAGAGAGACTGGGAGGAAGAGAACGGCCCTCTGAGCTGTCAGCCAGGGGTCGGGGTCTTCCTACCCCTTCTCTCGTGTAATCGACCCAGCGAGGAAGTGAGGCAGGTGCTGAAGAGCAAGACTCCAGTCAGACGGCCCCGGTGCCCCACCCACCAGCTGTGTGACCCTCGGCCGGCGTTGAACCTCTGGCTTTAGTTTCCTCTTCTGTAAAATCTTGGATCTCACTGAGGTTGTTACAAGGGTTATAATGCACACAAAAATTATATATATATGTAAATAATTAATACATATAAAATATATATGTTTGTGTATATATATATATATATATATTTATATATGCCTTGTGGCTCAGTTGATAAAGAATCCCCCTGCGATGTGGGAGACCTGGGTTCGATCCCCAGGTTGGGAAGATCCCCTGGAGAAGGAAAAGGCCACCCACTGCAGTATCCTGGCCTGGAGAGTTCCAGGGACTGTACAGTCCATGGGGCCACACGACCGAGTGACTTTTACTTTCAATACATGCGTGAAGTGGGTTTGGAGTCCCGGATTTCCGAATGAGGAAACAGACTTGATCCCACGCGCGTCTCTGGGGAGAGGATGGAGAGCAGCCTTCCCGGCGTCACCGCGCTGACGCGCCCGCTCCAGCACTGGCCTCCTCAGTGGCTCTTGAGCACACAGCTCATTCTGCCTCGGGACCCTGGCGCTAGGTCCACCCTCTGCCCGGCTGCTCCTCCCAGATCCTCCGTCATGCGGGTCTCAGCCCACGTGGGCCCTCTCTGACCGCCCCCTCCCCGTGTGGGTGGGCTTCCCTTCTCTCAGCTCCCCCTCCCTCCCGCCTTTTGCTTTATTTTTTTCCTGATCCTTATTACCATGCAATATTATATCTGACCATGCTGACTTCCTGTTTCCTCCTTCGAATGTAAACACGGCATTTTCATGAATGAATGAGGGCAGATACTTGGCCTGATTCACGCTAGGTTGCCAGTCCCTAAGCTGTTGGAATGGGTGAGCGGGTGAATGAACGAGGGGGTCCCACAGTTGAGCACAGATGCACCCCGGGATATGGCCAGCGCGCGTGATAGCCAGCCACGCACCGGGGTGGCTGCCCTCTGTGGTAAGCCCTCCTGGCACCCCGGGACATAGCTGTGACGGTCCCATTTTACAGCAGCACAGATCAAGTCTCCCAGAAGAGAAGCGGCTTGCCGGCGGGCCTCAGGGCCTTTGGGAGGCAGAGCCGTCCAGACTCCAGGGCGCCAGCTCCGTGCACTGCGTGACTGGCACGTCTCCGGGTCAAAGGCAGAGAGAAGCCACCCTGGGAAGCAGCAGCGCGTGCATTTTAGCAACAGATTTCCAGGTTTCGAGCGCTCTCCGCCTGCTGGGTGACTTTGCAGCGAGGGCGCCGCGGGGCGGCCGCGCCTGATGCTGCGGTTGCCATGGCGACGAGCGCCTCGGCGATTGGTCCAGCTCGGCCCGCACTACGTTGCTCCCGGGGCGCGGGGGAGCCTCTGCGCCGGCCCCTCCTCCGGATGCTGTACCCCCCCCCGCCCGCCCAGCCCTCCCCAACCCCCGCGCCCCGCCACCCCGGATGTGCGGCAGGGCCAAAGCCAGAGGTGGTCTCAGGTAGCCGTGAGGCCGACGCCCCCGCCCAGCCTGGCGACCATGGTGACCCGACGTCCTCGCAGGCTCCAGGGCACCGTGTGAGCCCTGCGTGCCTGGGTCCTCCGGAGCCCGCGGCTGCCACCCCCTGCTCCTGCTCCAGCCTCCGAGGAGGAGGAGTGCGCCACCCCCGGGAATGTGACTAGCCGCGATTTAATTTTATTCCCTTCCACTTCTCGCCTGAGCATCGCGCTGTTCCTCTAACCACATAGAGCCTTCCCAGCTGGAGAGGGAGAGAGAAGGGTAAACTGCCCACCACCCCCCCAGACAGGATGGCGTGCCGAAGGCGCTATTTGTGAGTATATGTGGCAGGTTTATGCCTGGAACTTGAGGCCAGAAGGGCCGCAGCCCATCTCGGAGCTGGAGCCCAGGCCCTCTGGGGGGAGGGGTTTTGCCGTGCAGGTGGCTTTCAGAGGGAGCTGGCCACCAGGCGTAGATGCCAGCATTCGTCCCTGCAGTGGACGTGTTTGTCGGTGGTGATGATGGGGGGAAAAAAGGCTGTCAGCAGGACTCTGTTGGGCAGTGAAATTCCCTGTCTCTGAGGGCTGATCGCCCCACAGATCTATGTACTGGGTCCCCGGACCTGCTGCTACCGTGTTGGCATCTGGTTCAGCTCTCCTGTGTCCATTTGGAAATGGTTTCTCGTGCCCGGCTCTGCCGTGATCAGCCCTTCAGCCGTGGCTGATGCAAGGTTGGCAGGAAGGTCAGGGTGGGTACAGGCTGCCGTGCCCTCCGGGGACCGGCGAAGGTCCAGCCTGCCCTCCAGAGTGGGGATTGCCAGCGTCACCCCGTACCACCCAGGTGTACCGTGGGCCAGCGGCAGAGGCCGTGAAAGTCTGCACGGGGTGGTGACATCACGGGTCCGGGTATTTATGGAAAGCTGAGCCCGCGCCTCCTGGGACGTTGGATGAGGATGCCAACTTCCCTCGCAGCTCTCTGGGGCTCTGCGGCGTTCTGAGCTCAGCAGCTGGGTCTCTGGCCTTGCAGGACCCCTCCTCTGGGACTGGGGGCCGTGAGTCTCCTCCTGCCGTGGGCACTTGGGCTCTGTGCAGTGACTTCAGACCCTGTGAGGTCAGAGGGCAGAGCTGGGCCCTCAGGCTGGGCTCAGTCCCCAGGACTCGAGAGCCCTGGAGCGGGGGGAGTTCCTGGAGCATCATGTGGGGGGACCCCTGGGGGCACTGCAAGGCCTCCGACTCCCCTAGACCTTGACGAGGGCCCTGGAGCCCGAGAAGCGGCGCCCACTGCTCTCCCCCTGGGCCGACGGCGCGCGCGCCCGTGGAGCTGGACGGGAGGGGGCACTGCTGCCGCCACTGCGCTGGCAGGCCCAGGCGGGGCCCCGGGGCGAGGAAGGCAGCGGGCTCTGTGGTTTGCTGTGATGTTCGTTTGCCTTCTAAGTGGAGAAGCCCACGGCTTGGTTTGTTGATGGAAGCCGATCACGCTGGGTTCTCACTTCCTGTCCCTGCTTTTTTTTGGGGGAAACAAATAGTAAATCCTTCCCAGGCACAGAACCTCTGCTGTCGCTGGAAACAGGCCTCCCCACCACCCCCGAGACACCCCCTTTCTCCTTCCTCCTTTGCCTCGGCCCAGGAGCCCGAGGTCAGAGAAGTCCTCTGGTCTCAGGGGCCATGAAACCCCGGGGGGAGGGAGGTCTCCGAGGGGGAATCTGTGCAGCAGCCTCTGGACTCCCATTCTAGAGACAGGACAACTGAGGCTCAGCAAATCCCCAGGAAACCTGAAGTGCCCTGGCCTGAGGTGTGTGTGTGGGGTGGTGGGTTGGGGGTGCGTTTCAGCCCAGCTCTGCATTAGAATCACGGGGGAATGTTTTCAAACTCCTGGGTCTGAGTCCCACCCCAGAGATCCTGCCTTCTGGGTCCTGGGAGGGCTGCAGCCTCAAGAATGTTGCAGGTCTCCCCACGTGATTTCAGTGCTCAGCTGTGGGTGATGTTTGCCGATGCGGTCTCTTCCCTTAGGCATCGCTGCCCAGTCCTACCCGATTGTGATTTGTGAGCACGCAGTTACCATTCCAGTTCCAGGACCCCTCCCCATTACCAGTACAGACTCGCTCTGTCTGCTGGGAGCCCAGGAGCCTGCATTGGAACACACGGCCCCTAGCAGGGCCCACCGACCATGCCTGTCTTCCCCACTCACCTAGGAGAGGGGTTGGACTGTGGGGAGGGCAGTTCGGGCAGCAGGACACCCAGGCTTCGCCCACGTGCCGCCTCCAAGCCCGCGGGCACCAGAGATTGCAGAGAGACTGGGGCGGGGGTGGCTAAAGTTGGGGGGGCCCTGTTTGCAGAAGGACTTGCGGACCAGAACCAGGGCTTTCCTGGCACCTGCAGCTCGAGCCCTAGGCTTGCAGAGTGGGGGATGGAATGTCTAGATGCTTAACTTTCAGGGTGCCTGGAGGCCCCAGCCCAGGACCAGCACAGCCACCGTCAGAGCTGCACGACTTGGCTCCGCGGCTTCTCACGGCCTTGCCTCCGTGGTTCTCACCTGTGTTGTGAAATGGGGGAGTTAGTGGTCCCATCTTACAGAGGGGGAAACTGAGGTCAGAGAGGGGTAGAACACTTGACCAAGGTCTCCTGGCGGCCTCCAGCCCCACGCTCGGCGGTGCGTCCCTCCCCCAGCGCGCTGCACACGCGGCCGACCTGGACAGACTTGCTGCAGGCGGAGCCCTGACCCCGGCCCCCCGGCCCCTTCCCCGCCTCCCTGTCCTCTGCTCTCTTCCCCTCCACCCCCTGGGCCCCAAAGAGAACTTGGGCATCCGGACTCTGTCGTTGAGAGGGGACAGTTTCCCACCCGGGAGCTCCGACAGACGGAGCCGGCCCTGAGTAGACGGGACAGTGGATGACGGGGAGAGTGGGAGATTTATTAATGAAATAGGGAAATCATGAAGCCTGCAAGATAGATTCCTTAATCAGCTTTGTTAGCAACCAAGGCCAGGCCTACACTGAAAGCTTAATTAACGGTGTCTTAATTAAGGTCGGCCCCCTCCCGACTGTAACTACACTTCCACGGCACGTCACTTCCTGCTCCAGGAACGCAGGAAGTCAGGCTGCAGGAGTTTGCAGCGGGTGTGCGAGACCCTCGGGGCTGCTGGGGAGCGGGGCCGCTGAGTCGGGGCGCTCCTTTATAATTCATCCATCCGCTCGCTCACTCATTCATTCGCTCTGCCTGGAGCCACCCATTCTAGATGGCAGACGCCACCCTGAAAGCATTCCCCAGCGCCTTCCCCACCCAGAACTGTGTCCTGCTCACAGGCTGGTTGGTCCACTCCGGCCGCTGGCATGTCAGCTGTGCCAGGACAGAGGGGCTGACCGCGTTGTTAGCTGTGGCATGTCCAGCGCCTCGGAAAGTACTGGGTGTGTAGTGATTGCTCAGTGAGCCTTTGTTGGTGAATGAATGATGGATCCTGTGCCAGGCACTGCCCTAAGCTAAGGGGTACAGGAGTGTTGTGTAGTCGCTCAGTCGTGTCCGCCTCTTTGTGACCCCCCTGGACTGTAGCCCGCCAGGCTCCTCTGTCCATGGGATTGTCCAGGCAAGAGGACTGGAGTGGGTCGCCATGCCCTCCTCCAGGGGAGCTTCCCGACCCAGGGATCGAACCCGGGTCTCTTGTGTCTCCTGTGTCGTCCGGCAGGTTCTTTACCGCTGAGCCACCTGGTACCACAGGGTACGGGGCGCAGTAAGACGCAGCTCCTGGGACCCTGTAGGCCGTGAGCAGAGCTGTCAGCGCAGAGCGCCACGGGCCGTGAGCCGACGGTGTCAGTGCAGGGCGCCGTGGGCCAGACAGACGGCAGCCCAGAGATGGGAGGGTTCCCGCGTCCCGCAGCAGGCTGGAGGCCGAAGCAGGTGCCAGCTGATCGGGAGGGGTGGGCGCTCTGGTGTGCAGGCCTCGGCCTAGGGTTGCAGGCATTCCGCAGGCACTAGCTCACTGACCTTCACGGTGACCCTGGGGGTGCCTGTCCCCTCTGTACAGACAGTGGAGCTGAGTCACCGAATCAGTTGCCCCCGGGAGGGGTGGCGCTGGGGATTGGACCCGGACGGGCAGCCCCAGAGCCCCGCTCTGTGAGATTCTGACGGCTTTGCTGGAAGTGATGGTGTCTGGCCCACGCCCCGCACGTGTGAGCGAGTGGAGGTGAGACCGGAGATGTGGGCGGGGCCAGGACAGGCAGCATCTGGCCCCCAGGAGGGGCCCCCCTTGCGGGGAGGGGCCGTGGGACCCACAGAGGGTTCTGACCCGCGGGGGCGGCCACGGTTCCAGAGCCAGACTGTGGAGGGAAGGTGGGGGTGGGGAGGGCTCTCAGTCGTCCTTTTCGGCGCCCACAGCGGGGCGCCCCAGAGGGCGGCAGGTCCCTAGAGGGCGGCAGGTCCCCAGCCCAGGCCGTCTCGGGGCAGGCCTGCCTGGGAGCCACAGTGGCCCCGAGGAGGCTCTGGGCTGTGGTCTGCAGGCAGCTCTGTGCCCGGGTAGGAGAGCCCCTTCCACTCCCACCTCTCATCTGACTCCACCCTCAAGTCAGGTCTGGGGCCCGGAGGCCTGCACAGGACCCCCGGCTGGCCCCGGGGGACACACCCAGCCAGGGCCGGGCTGGGGCGCGTCCTGGTGGCCAGCCCTTCACCAGGCGCTTTGTGACGCCGCCCCTTCCCCGCCTGGGGGCCGTCCTGCGGGGTCTGTCCTTCCTGCCCCCGCTTTTCATCAGGCCCCGTGTGCCCACCCTCGAGGGCAGAGATAGGCGCCCAGAAGGTGGGTAGACAGCTTCTGGGAGGGCCGGGGGGCAGCCAGGCGGAGCCGGGAGACAGGGCCCCCGCACCTCGTCCCGGGGCAGCCTCCTGACCCCCGGCCCCAGGGCCCTGCCCGCCCCCGTGTGTGCTCTCCCGGAGCTGGAGCGTGGCCGAGGCTCCAGCGCTCACCCGGGGCGCTGAGACCCCCTCGTGCGGCAGGGGCGGGGCCCGCGGGCTCACTTGGTTTTGTCTCCGCCCGCAGGGACCTGACAGCCCTTGGCAGCTACTCAACGCCTGCCTGGCTCCTGCGGGGCCTGCTGCTTTTCCCGAGGCCTGAGTCCGCCCCGCGCCCCGCCGCCCAGCGGCTCACTGGTCCCCGCTCTCTCTCTCCTCCGCCCACTGCGCCCCGTGGTCTCTGAGGCCCTGGCCCTCCCTGGGGCTCACCGAGCAGGGCTCAGACGCTGCCCTCCAGCTCCGCCCCCGGCCCTCTGTGTGACCCTGGGCCAGCGTCTCGCCCTCTCTGGGCCTGTGACATCCTCTGAATCCGGAGTGGCAGGGTCAGCGCTGGATGGTGCAGGTTGGGCAGACTGGCACGGGAGGCTGGGGTGTGGGGCGGGAGCTAGCGGAAGTCGGCGCTGAGCTCAGACATTCCGGCTGTTTCACACACGCCCGGTCCGTGCACGGCTTGTGGTCCCCGGGGGCGCATCGTCCCCCAGACGCGCAGCGGATACGCCGAGTCCTGCCTGCGCTGTGGGGAGCGCCCGTGTTGGCCCCCTGGCAGAGGGTGGCCTTTCTCCCCACCCCGCGGGCCCCGAGGTCCAGGCCTGGATCCAACCCTGGGCCCTGGTCCTCCCGCTTGCACAGGGCAACCCCTGTGCTGGCACCCGCGGCCTGGGAGCCTTCCAGGGGGGCCCGGCCTCTGTGTCCCGGCATCTGTGTAGGCCCAGGCAGGCCAGCTATAACCTTTCTTAAAGTTGTGGTAACATAACCGTAACAGAAGAATGACCAGTTCAGCCATTTCTAAGTGTGCAGTTCAGGGCAGTCAGTACATTCATAGTGTTTCACGCCCGTCACCACCGTCCGTCCCCAGAACCTTCCCATCTTCCCAGACTGAGACTCGGTCCCCGTAAAACACTCACTCCCCTTCCCTTCCCCAGCCCCGGGCACCCACCATCCTACCTCTGTCTCTGTGGACTCAGCCGCTCTGAGCACTAGTCTCCGTGGAATCCTGTAGTGTCTGTCTTTCTGTGGCTTACTTCGCTGAGCACGTTCTCAAGGTTCATCCATGTTTGCAGCCTGTGTCAGGATTTCCTTCCTCTTAAGGCTGAAATATCCCATTGTGCATCTGGACCGCGCTTTGTTGATCCGTTCGTCTGTCTCTGGACACCTGCGCTTGCTCCCGCCTTTTGGCTGCTGTGACTAACGCTGGTGTGAAGGTGGGGAGGCCGGTGTCCTTTGTGTGTATACGCAGAACTGGAATTCCCGGATCCTGTGGAAACGCTGTTGAACTTTTTTGGAGGAACCTCCTTACTGTTTTTCCACCACAGCTGCACCGTTTTACATTCCCACCAACATTGCACACGGATTCCAGTTTCTCCACATCTTTGCTCACACATGCCATTGTGTTTTTTGGTTGTTTTTGTAATAGGAATTCTCATCGTGTGAAGTAGCACCTCATTGTGGTTTTGATTTACTCCTTCTTGAATGAAGGCAGCTGTGAGTGGTGAGGCTCAGCCTCCTTCTCTGCCGTTGGACCATGCGGCCCCGAGGACCCCCGACGTTGACTGGGGGGCCTGGGCCCGCTGGACGCCCACCGACGCCTCTGCCGCCTTTGCGGGAGCTTCTGTCCCAGAGCAGGGTGGGCGGGAGGGCCGTGGGGCTCAGGCCTCCCCACCCAGAGCCCAGTCCTCCAGCTCACAACTAGCCCAGGAGCTGCGTCCTTGGGGGTGCCTGGCACACAGTACGTGCTCAGAAATTTTAAATCACATGCGAGGAATCCCTGCTTCCATCTTTTTTGGCTCTTGCTGGTTTATCCATGTAACTGAGAGACGATTCACTGGCATGGTGCGGCAACGTCTGCATACACTGCAAAGTCAGCCCTTCTCCGGTTCCTCGGCCCCGAGGCCACCCCCGTGTCCAGCTTCATGGGGTCTCTCTGGGGAAGTGCTGTGCGCGGATGTGAGCACTGCAATACTGAAGAGACTCAACCACCCGGCCAGGTACACCCAGCGGAGTTTCCAGTCTCGGCTTTGCAGCTCCGGATTTGGGGCCCCCTGAGGGGGTGGGGTGACCCTCCAGCCCCCGAAGGAGGCGATGTTCTCCCTCTGGTGGGTGGCCCTGACCAGTGGCTGGCAGAGTGGCCTCCACGGAGGAAGCAAAGCCACAGCAGAAGCAGCGACGTGGGAAGGACTGGCCCTGCGCACCCAAGGTTCCGATCCCGCCAGGCCTCCCGGCCGCCTGTGTGTCCTGGGCCGGTCGGCCGGCCAGATCTGTTGCGTCGGCCCCTTTGTGAGCGCCTGTCCAGCATGGGGCCTGCGCTGCACCCTGGGGACAGCGGCCCTGCCCAGAAGCAGGCGGACGCAGGTGGAGCCGCCAGTGCGGGGCGGACGGTGTGCCGTGGGCTTTCAGCGGGAGCTGCCGGACACGTGGGCGCCCTTCGGGGCAGACACAGGGAGAGGCGTCTGGTCGGTGGGCCGGGGAAGCCCACTCCCTACAGTGTGGGGGGCGGGCCTGCATGGCCGAGACCTGTGAGGCTCTCCCCAGACCCTTGGGGAAGTGACCTGGGCCCAGCCCTCACTCCACGAGACGCCTCCCCCGCTGGACGCGTTCCCGCGGCCGTCACGTCACGTCCAGCAGCTTTTCCAGGAACGCGGCTGCTCTCCTCACAGTCCCAGGAAGATCAGACGCTGATATGTCCGGAGCTCTGCCAAGGGCTGCCGCCGTGCAGAGCCTCGCGTCACCGAGGGCGGCGTCCCTTGTGGCCCCCAGCTCGGGAGCCAGGCCGTGCGTCCGCCTGGGATCAGAGCTGCTGTCACCTTGGGGACGGGAGACTGACCTCGTCCCCGTGCACCCACCACTAATGGGCCGGCCGCCTCGTTGTGACCAGCTTCCCTGTCTTCTCTCTGCTGCTACAGCTGAGGCCGTTGGTTGGTTTTTGTCTCATGACGTGTGTGGAGAGAGAGGATATGACTTATGGACGTCGTTTCAGACCAGGGAAGGGTCAGCACAGGTTTGGGTGCTAAGGATGGGGGCGGGGGGTGGATGAGGACTCTTTGTGGGGTGGAATTACTGTGCATCTTGTCGTGAGCCTGCACATCAAAGTGCATGGAACTAAAGACGCTCACACGATTACTCATTCACTCACACACACACGAGTAGGAGTGACACAGAAGTCTGAGATGGTGGACGGTAGTGTCAGCATCGTGATGGAGACCTTGTTCTCAAGTTCTGCAGGGCCGTTAACTTTGGGGAAAACAGGGCAAAGTGCAGACAGCATCTCTCCGGGCTATTGTTAACAACTACCGGTGAATCTACAGTTAATCTCAAAATTAAAAGTTTAATTGAAAACGAAGGCCAGGGGCAGGTGTTGGGTCTGAGCTGGACCCTTGGTGACTGTGGGGCAGGAAGGCCAGTGACCACCCCCACCCCGTCTCAGCCCCTCCGTGTGAGGCCTCCCTGACAGGGACCCCTAGACCCCCGGTCCCCCAGGCTGAACCCCACTGGCCTCCGCCCTTGAGCTGCCAGCTAAGGCCTGGTTGGCCCCCGGCGCTGAGCTGGAGACCTCGGAGCAGGGTCTCATCCACCTTCTGCAGACCCCGACCCGGAGCTGGGACCCGGCCTGCCCGCCCACCTCAGGGCTGCCCTGGGCACCAGCGCAGTGTTCGTGCGGGCCTGGCTCTCCCACCCGCGGTCCCCGGGTCCAGGAGCTGGGGCAGACACACACGGGCTATCCCTCCCTGTGCCATCGTGGAGACTGAAGTCAGCGCAGCCTGCTAGGACTCAAAGGTGAGGGAAGCGAGGGCTTCGCTGAGTCTGTCTTCCTGCACACGGACGGCGCGGTGGGTCGGCTTCTGGCACGTGGACGCAGCATAGATTGCAGGGCAGACGGGGTGGAGCTGGCAGGGCTGGGGGCCGCGGGGCAGAAGCCAGCCCGGGCGAGGTGCCGGCTTGGGGCACCCCCCAGACCTGAAGGCCAGGCTCAGCGGACGGACCCGGCGGGGGCACCTGCCTTTCACTCCAGTTTATCCAACTTCCCGGCGATAACTGGGGGCCCAGGGGCTCCAGGGGCCTGAGATGCCCCGTGCTCCCCGTCCTGGGTGCACGTGACCCCCTGGGGTCCCCGGGAGAGGGTCCCATCGGAACAGCCCCTGGCTCTGCACGGCGGTTGGCGCGTGGCTAACTGCAAGATGTCGTACTGGCTTCGTCAGTTTCACGCATCATCAGCACGGTCCCCGCGTCTGTCTGGAATGGCTGATAAGGGAAGGGGCATGTTTGTCATCAGCCTGGCTCTTGCTGGGCTTGCCGGGCCGGGATAACCGCGCATCTGCTCACGTGTGCTCCGTTCCCGATTCCGGTCCAGGGGCCACGGCCGCAGGCGCCCCCGAGTCCCTCCGATCCCCCATCCTTGGCCTGACTTCAGTCTCCGACCAGCTCTGGGGCTGCTGAGCAATCAGGGCAACATGGAGGAGCTCCCCGAAACTGGCTGTGCCCAGGAGAAGTGGGGGCCGAGGCGCTGAGGTGATCAGCCTGATTTCCAGTACCCGCCTCTGCCTTGGGAGCTTCTGGATGGACCCCTTCATCTGCCGCCCAGTGGCTGTGTGGCTTGCGGCAGACAGCTTCACCTCTCTGAGCCTCGGGGCTTTTCTCTGTACCGTGGGGCCAATCATTGCAACTTTGCAGGGTGGCGATAAGGACTCAGTGATGTAGTCAAGTGCAGGGCGGATCCATCCTTACATATATCCTCGTCCCCTTCCTCCCCTGGACTCTAAGTGCACGGGACAGGCTGGGACCTCAGAGACACAGTCCTGGGGAGGGTAAGGGAACCAGCGGGGCGGAGGGAGTGTACCAACCAGAAGTCTCCCGGTGGCAAAGTTCAGAGACCAAGTCAGAAGGGATTTTAACGGTCACTGTCGGTGACCAGCCTGGGGTCAGGCTTCGGTGTGGCTGGGGGTCTGGGGGCTCCGACACTCTCGTGGCCGTCTCCTCCTTGCCTTCCGCCTGGGGCGTGTTCTCAAGACCCCTCCGGTCCCACTGGTCAGCCCCGGGGCTCATGGCCTTCCTGAGACTGCCTCCATGCCCGGGGGGGCTGGCTGTGTGGTGATTGGCCAGGCCTGGAGCCGGGCGGACGGGGTCAGCTCCGTCTCAGCCACTGCACTGTGTGCTCAGGACGGGGTTCGAGTGTGTTTCTGCGGGGTGGGGGGGGCAGTAAACTGAGGCTGGAGACAGTTCACCAGGCACGCTTGGGGTCAGAGGGCAGCACGCCGAGCTGGCGGCCTCAGCTCAGCGCGGGGCGATGCACACAGCCTGGTGCCCGGGAGGCAAGCGCTTGGCTGGGAGGCTGGCCCCAGCACACAGCCTGGAGTCACAGACCCGAGTTCCACGCTTGGCAGCGGGGAGGAGAGGGTTTGCGGCTGCTCATGTCAGGTAAATCCACAGGACCCCGACGCTAGGGATCTGGCTGACGACCCCCCCACGCCGCAAAGTCTTTCCCATCTCCCTCTTGCTTAGCCAGCTGGGACCTTCAAATGAGAATCTTTACTCCTGTTATTTCACCTTCCCTCTCTCTCCAGGGGTATATACTCAATACTTTTCAAAAGCCCCAAAGCGGCCTGGGGCACTGTGTGTTATCCAGGGAAATTCACCATCCGTTCCAGATCCATGTCCCATCCTTCCACCGGAAGCTGCGGGAGGGTTACCCTACCCACCCCGGGGCCGTGCTGAGCCTCCCTGGGGGGGCGGCCGAGCCCTGTGTCCCCGTCTAGGAGATGGGCTGTTCCTGGCTCCCGATGGACCGCAGGGAACCCGTGGGTGCTGGGGGGAGAGCGGTGTCCCCCCAGGGTGGGGGTGCTGACAGGGGTTTCTGCACCCCCGCGCTGGTCAGCCGTGGCTCCCAGTCGCCCTGGAGGCCGAGCAGGACCGGGGGATGCCCGTGGGTGGAAGGCCTGAGACTGGGGGAGCACGCAGCTACCCGCAGAGCCCTGGGCGGGGCTGGTCCCGGCGTCACCAACACGTCTCGGCCCTTGGGCGCCCCTCCGTCCTCTGGCCTCAGGATTCTCCCACCCCTGGAGCCCCTAGGCAGTCCTGCCCCCCAGCAGCCGCGCCTCCATCCTGCCCTTGCTCTGGACATGTGTCCTGGCTAGCCGTCAGCCCATGGCCAGCTGTCCAGGCCGGGAGCCCCAGGTGCAGAAGGCGCAGGACGGCAGAGAGGGCGGGCGGTCCCCAGGGTGCCCGGTGGAAGGCGGGGTGTGGAGCTGGGCTTGGGGACAGCGGGGCTGTGACCCTCCCCGACGGCCGCGTCCGTCCCTGTCACCCCAGATCTCGGGGTCCCCCGCCCCTGCCCTTCCCCCTCACTCCCATGTGTTCACATGCCGGCTACCACCCACCTCTGTCCTTCCAGACCTAGCTTTCCCAGAAGACTGTGGCCAGCGTGGGTCCGCCCGGCCCGCCGCTGGGTGCCCCGGGGCCAGGCCTCAGGGTGGGGCAGCCGCAGCGTCCGTGAGTGAGGGACGCCCCGCGCTGTTACCTTCAGCATGAAGTTTGCTCTTCTCCTCCTTTCATCCAAAAGTGTGTCTGGAAGGTGCCCCTCGCTGGGCGCAGGCCGGGTGAGGCGGAGGCGATGGGGAAAGCGGGGAGTCTGAGTGGCTGGCGGAGCACAGTGCCCGGGGTGCCTGCTGCGGGCAGGCCCAGGCTGGGGGTGAGGAAGGCGTCACAGGAGTTGCAGGCCACGGAGCCCGGGGCGGGTGTCCCTGTCGCCATGAAGACAGGCCCCCGGTGTGGGAGCTGCCCAAGCGGCGGCGGGGCGGGGGACCACCAGCTTGGTGTGTGCAGCCTGCAGGGGAGGCCAGAGGCTGCGGCGGCCCCCAGGACACCGCCCCCGTCCGCCCACTGGGCCCTGCGCCCCCGGGCTCATCCCGCCCGCGGTCTGAAGGCACGTCCTCCACTCTGCGGCCAGAGCCGCCCCGGGGGCTGCAGGCACTGAGGCCTCCCGCCCGCCAGGAGAGCTCCCCGCGTCCCGAGCACACGCAGACACGTGGGGACCGGGCACCTTGCACCTCGGTGCCCCCGAAACAGGCAACCCCGTACTGCAGCCCGCAGGCTGAGCTGTCCTCCTCCCGCTGAACAGAGCGGGGTGGGTCAGGGCTCCCCGAGTGTCCGGGGACCAGCCCGGCCGGGGGTCTGGGGCTGCCCGCCCTCACGACTCTGCCTGCAGGCACCCACTAAGGCTTCAGGCCCCTCTGCAGCCCTGGAGAAAGCGCCCCTCCCCCGGAGCTGGGGTCTGCCTCCAGCTGCTGCAGGCGGGGTCCCCGGGCAGCTGTGCGAACCCAGCCCCCGTCCCCTCCCCTCCCCAGCCGCCGCCCAGTCCATCCGCCTGGCAGTCAGGGCGCCCAGCTCACTCTGCAGGGTGGATGTCCGCTGCGAGCAGCACTGCCCCGGGGCGTCTGGAAGGACGGGGCCAAGTGCCCGGCGCCCGGACTCAGCACAGACGCCTCACTGTTCCCAGTGCCCCCACACCCCCCGCTTCCATTTCCCCGTTAGGTTTACCTGGAAACACCCAGACCCGGTGGGTTCTGGAAATATTCCTCGTTTTTAGTTTTCATTCAGCTAAGGTGCATTAACACAGCTCGCTTGCAGGAAGGGAGGCAAACGCAAACGGAAAGACCTTGGCAGAGTCTCATTGACTGTGGGCGTCCAGCGCAGGCCCTGGGGACACATCCCTGCCTGACTGTTGCCTGCCGTGACCCTGAGACCAGGCCTGAGGCCAGCTGGGAGCTCCCGGCCGCTCACGGGAGGGTCTGTCTACACAAATGTGCCGTTTACACGTATATGCCATGCACACATGTGCATGTGTGATGGCAGGGAGCTGTCTCTTTTTGAAAACTGAAACATAGTTGGTTTTTAATGGGCTTCCCAGGTGGCTCAGGTGACACAGATTCAGTCTCTGGGTCGGGAAGCTCCCCTGGAGGAGGAAATGGCCACCCACCCCAGTGTTCTTGCCTGGAGAATCCCATGGACAGAGGGGCCTGGCGGGCCAGAGTCCAGGGGTTCACGAAGAGTCAGGCACGACTTGGCGACCAAACAACAGCCTAGCTGGTTTACGGCGCTGTCATGTGAGTTGAGAGGCGCCGTGTGTCTGGCCACGTGAGGTCAGCGTGGGTCTGAGCGTGGCTCTGTGCTGGGAGAGCTGTCAGGCAGGCCGCAGGCCGGACCTGGAGGGAGAGGTGGCCCTGCACCGCCCATGGGGTCCACTGTGCCCTCTGGCCAGGCAGGGTCCTCCAGCCTCGCCCTGCCGTGGAGAGGGGGCTCCCCTTCACCCCACACCCGAGGGGCTGTGGAAGCGGGGGCCGCCCTTCCCCTGAGTCAGACCTCACGGTGTTCCTGACTGCTTCTGTTTGACCTGGGAATTTCTGTGGGGAGGCCCGGAATTTCCCCGGGGGCAGCAGCCTCCCTGGGAGGCCGGTGGACGCGGGACCTTTGGGAGGGGACTTTCCTCTGGGTATCCTTTTGTGTGGTGTTTTTGAGCCAGAGTGCCTTACTTTTTAATTTATTTTTGGCTGCACTGTCTTCGCGGTGGCTTAGCTGCCCCGCGGCGAGTGGGATCTTAGTTCCGGGGCCAGGGATTGAACCGTGTCCTCTGCAGTGGCAAGCGGATTCTGCACCCCTGGACCACCAGGGAAGTCCATGCAGTGCTTATTTGAAACGTGTATAAGACGGTGGATTTGGGGGTGAGTTGGCTTGTTTTCTGGGGATCTGATGGAACACCACCCCCCCCCCCAGTGGAGGGCCGCCCTCAGGATGTGGAGGGTGAATGGGGTCAGGATGTCCTGGTTGGGGGTCAGCTGCCTAACAGCTGCAGATGATGGGGACGCTGGAGCAGAGGAGAGGGACCCAGGTCAGGATCGAGGTGGGGCTGTTGGGAGGCCTCAGGCAGGTCTCAGCCTGTCTCAGCCTCGTTTTCCTCGTCTGTAAAATGGGGCCATGACAGCTCCCCAGGCAGACTTGAGGAACGTCTGAAGAGGGGTGCCGCACGGTCTGACCCCCATCCCAGCCGGTCTGGACTGAGACATCTCTGCTCCCTGCCTGTCAGCAAACCAGGACCGGGGTGTCAGGACGGGGCTCCCAGACTCCACACCCAAGGCCACAGGTCCGGCCAGGCTCCCAGCCATGTGGTAAGGCTTCAGCCCACTCCCAGCAGCCAGGGAGGCTGGACACACCCTGGCCAGCAGCCCCGTACGCCCGGCCAGTGTCTGCCTCAGCAAGAGAGTCCTGGTGGGAGCCTCGGGGTCACAGAAGCTGAGGTCTCGGCGGTGCTCCCGGCAGGTAAGGGCAGCCAGGGCGCTCCCTGTCCAAGCTTCGTCCTGCGGCAGGTTCCCAGCCTAGCGCCCTGTGTGTGCCACCTTGCTCCCTCTGGGACCCTCCCCTGAACAAGGCCGGATCCTGGGCGTGCTGACCCCCTGCACCCCACCCGCGGACCCGAGGCCTGGGCTCCGAGTCACTGCTTCCGCGGCCTCTTCTGACCAGGGGCCAAGGGGAGCCCTGCCGTGGCCCTCTTGTCTGGCACACCTGGTCAGAGTGCCCACCTTCCCGGAGACGGGCGTGGTGCCCCCACTGGATGCCACCCAGGGCCCCTGCCCGCCGCCCGAGCTCCCTTTCAACACCACTGTCCCGAGGCCTAGGAGCCTGGGAGGGGACACCCCTCTCGGAGTAGCGGAGGGTTTCCCAGACTCCGGGTAGGCCGGAGGGCGTGGAGGCCGGACCGAGGACAGTCACCCCGTGTGCCCGCGGGCAGGGCCGTAGGAGGCCCAGAGCCAGGACAGGAAGGCCGGGCGGATGGGCAGGGCCTCTGTGGCTTTCTCCAAGGGGGGGCCAGGCCGGGCGCTGGGGGCATGGGCAGAGCAGCTGGCCACGGAAGCTGGTTTTCATGGCAGCCCCCCAGGTCCCCGCCCCATCTGCTCCCGAGAGCCGCCTGGAGTTCCACAGACCAGGAGCCTGGGGCTGAGACGAGTCCCGGGGGGCAGCGTGGGGCAGCGTGGGGCAGCGGCCCCACCCACGGGGAGGTGGACGGGCCCTCAGGGCAGCCTGGCCCCCGTCCCCTCTCTGCGCCCCACTTGGAGCCCCGGAGAAGGGGCTGTACTCGGGGCAGGCGTGAGGGGTGAGCCCCGCCCGGCCCGATGCTCTGTCCAGGGGCTGCCTGGGGGCTCAGGGGCGACAGAAACGTCGGGAGGCCCGGGGGCGGCCAGGATAACTCGCCCGTCCCGCCCCGTGGGCCTGCCCCCGAGCCGAGAACGCATCCCGCCCCGTGACCCCGAAAGTCCAGGGCTGGGTCCTGCACACGCATCCGCCCCCTGCACAGAGGCCTCACCGACGGGACGGCCGACGCCCTGACTGCGGGCGGTGGGTGTGTGCCCGGGGTTCCAGGCCACTTCCCGAGGGTGACGCGGAGGAGTGTTTGACGACTGGAAGACGCGAGGTGTTAAGGGCGGGTGGGGAGCGCGGGTTGCAGAACAGAGCGTGCCCTTGTGTCCGATCCCCGTCTGGGCGCATGCTGAGGCGGCGGCCGGGCCCTGAGCCGCCCTCGGACCCCGCAGCGCCTGCGGCTGGGAGGCGGGCGCGGTCCCCCTCCCTGTGCCCGGCTGTGCTTCCTGCAGTTGGCACAGTGGGCACGCGCTTCTTCTTCAGTAAGACGGAGGCGTGCAGCCTGCCCGCCCCTCTGGAAATGGAGGTAAATTCCACAGATAGCCCCAGCACCCAGGGCCCGTCAGCCTGTGGAGCCGCCCTGCCTCTAGCTGCCTCCCCTGCGGGCCTGGAGGGGCTCCCGGGCTGCCCTCCGCCCCTCCTGACCCTGCTCCCCGCGGCCTCCCTTTTCCTTCTCAGGAGCGGACAGAGTCGCCCTCCAGCTCAGAGCCGTGACAGCGGGACCCCTGCCCAGGCCCTTCCAGAAAGCACAGCGTGCCCGGAAGAAGCCTCACAGCGGTGAGGGTGTTCTTCCTCAACCTGACAGAACTTTCTAGAACCCAGGGGGCCCTGGGGAGTCGGCTGGTTCCGGGTTAGACGCATCTGGGGGGCTGTGGGAAAACACAGGGCACCTTCCCCAGACGAGACGCGCAGGTGGCGGGTGAGCGCGTGACGCCGCAGTCAGCGCCGGGAGCCGTCAGGAAACGCGAGCTGAAACCACAGGGAGGTGTCGCCACCCGTCTGTCAGAACGCCCGGAAGTGGGGCCAGGGCCACACGCCGCGCTGGCCAGGAGGCCGGGGGGCAGGGTCCCGCCTGCGCGGCCTCTGGGGACGTCCAGGGTGCGGCCCCTCGGGGGGACAGCTCATTGGGGGGCTCAGAGCACGTGCACTGTTCCCAGACGCCCGTTGTTCCAGAGGAAGGAAGACCTGGGTTCACACCGAGACCCATCGGAGAAGGCTCAGGGCAGTTCTGTCCCTGACAGCCCCCGGCCCGGAACCTGCTGCAGCATCCTTCCCAGGACGTGTGTGGGGAGGGGGGATATAGATAAACAGACTGGGGTACGTCCATGAGGTGGGATGCTATCCAGCTGTCAAGAGGAAAGGACTATTGAACACGAGCAGTTGGAATCAAACCTCCAGGGAATTACGCAGAGAGAAAAAGAAAGCCAGTGTTGAGAAGTTCCGTCCCGTGCGGTTCTGTTTGTTGTAACACCCTGAAATGACGGGGTGATGGACAGATGGGGGGCGTGGGGAGCGCAGGTTGGGGGAGAAGGGGGCGTGGCTCCGCAGGGAGGGGAGGGTGTGAGCACCCTGCAGTGGGTGGTCCGGGGACTTCTTCGTAGGTGGGGGTCCCCCAAAGCTGCACATGTGGCAGAGCTGTCTGGGCAGCTGCAGTGGCTGAGGGCTTGACGGCGGGCAGCCTGTCTTCATGTTCAGGGTTAGTGGGGGAGGCTGGGGTATGTCTTACTGTGAACCAGTGGGTATTTCAAAGTGAAGAGTTCTTAAAACAACAGGCAAGGTGCAGGAGCGCAACCCCAAAGGTTCGGACTGAGCGGTCTGGGTTTGGGCCCAGATCTCAGTCCTGTGTTTCTAAGACGCGTCCCGTGTGCCCACTGCACAGCCTGGGCCCGAAGCTCGGCAGAGGGAAACCGAGGCCAGAGAGGGGAAAGGGTTTTCCCCAAGGCCACACAGCAGCAGGGGGGGATGACCACCGGCTGCAAGGACTTGGGTTTTTCCTGCTGCTGCAGGCTGGGGCTGAACCAGGCATTTTTTGTTTTGTTTTTAGTGGAAATCTTTATTGGAATCCAGTGTACGGCTAGCTGAACTGTCACCAACGGAACACTTTCGGGTAGCCGGCACCCAGACCCCCAAGCAGAAGCCGGACAGCCCCCCAGGGAGCCCCCTCGGGCCCTGCCAGTCACTGCCCTAGCCCCCCACTCCCCACACCCAAGGGCCCCTCTCCCAACGTTCCGCACATGCTGTCTTTCCGGTTGGTGAACTTGGTAGGTGGCTGGGTGCTGTTTGGAGCCGTGCCAAGGAGTAGGACTGGAGCGGCCAGTTTACTCTGAAGGGGAGGAAGTGGCCTGCAGCGGAGTCCGGCCCAGAGGGCTGGGGCGGGGGCTTCAGGGAGGGGACTGTCCCCAGGACAGGACGCCTTGTGCAAGGGTGGCTGCAACGGCTGTCTGCCCGAGCCCGCACTGGAGGCGGGAGCGGGGCTGGAGCCCTGGCTGGCTGGCCCAGCCTGCCGCGTCCCGGGGCCCGCTGAGCTCCTTTGAGCCCTGGGCCCAGCAAGGCCCAGCAGTGCAGACGGCTCTGGACCCGGGGCCACCGCCCCTGAGCAAGAGCCCACGACCCAGGACAGCTCGCCCCCAGGCCCCGTTTCCCCCGTGGCCGTAACGGGGGTTTATTTATGTGGGTAAAACAGGCGTCTGTCTGCATAGAGTTGGTGTGTGAATACAGCACGTTAACAGTCCGTCTGTGTACGTCTGTGTCACACCTTCCTCTGATCCGTAACCTAACATGCTGCTACTCGGGGTCCTCTGCAGGTCACAGCTGGATTTATGGAGCGCTGACTCTCTGGCACTCTTCCCAGTGCTGTAAACGTACCAGCCTATCTAATCTTCCTCAGCACGGTGAAAGAGGGCCGTGAACTGAGGCACAGAGGGGCTCACTGACTCGCCCAAGGCCACACAGCTGGCCCGTGGCAAAGCCGGCGTCTGCAGCCCGGCCCTCTTGGCCCTGGGATTCACCTCGCGGCTCTCATGTCCCCCTAAGCACCGTGGGATGAGGTCCCGCAATAGCGTGTGGTCGGGCAGATCCGCCTGCCCTGCACCGTCTGGATTCCCGGGTGCTTCTCCACGGCGACTGTCTTACCCCGTGTTCCCAGGGGGCGGCCAAGGCACAGGGGGCCCCAGCATGTCCCAGGCCGTGGGTTCCCTGTCCAGGCGCCGGGCTATGGCCCTCCCGACAGCCACTGGGCTGATCAGGGGGAGGGTGATGGGCGGAGTGGGCCTCAGGCCGTGGCTCTGAAGGCTGCATGGACCCGGCCAGGCTCAGGGCAGAGGGGGGACGGTCCCCACTCAGAGCCCGACCGAGCTGGGCTGTCGGGTCAGTGGCACGCCACGAGAGGGACTTCCCAGAGGGTCAGGCCGCCAAGGGCCCCCCAGGATAGGCAGGACATGGTGAGGAGTGAGGAGCCTCAGGGTGTGGGGCTGGGCCCGGGGGGGAGACCCTGCTGCCTGGAGGGGGTCTTGCCTCCTTCCGGACCTCGGTCACGACAGGCCGCATGACGTGACACTGGTCGACCAACGCCCAGTCCATAGGAACTGCTCAAAAACGCTCATGTCACTGGAGGAGGGGGAGAGAGATGAGGGGATAGGGAAGGAGGGAGCAAGGAGAATGGGAAGGATGGAGTCTGACTGGGGGACAGAGTGGACAAGTCTGCCCGAAGGCGTTGACACGGGAGCAGGGTTTTGGAGGGTGAGTAGGAGTTGGCTGCAGGACTAAGAGAGAGGGGATGGGATGGTGTCCCAGGTACGGGAGCCCCCGAGCTGCACCGTCAGCGTTTGTGAAGAGGGGTGGCGGTCACGAGTCCACGTGCCTCGCGAGGGTCACGCAGCGTTTATGCCAGGATGCGTTTGGAGATGGGACCTCGTCTTCAGTACTCTCTGTGCCTGCCGGGTGGCACCGTGTTCTCAGGATGTAGTCAGAGCAGGACTGCGGTGCGAGCGGGCCCCTCGGCTTGTGGCACGGCCGCCCTGGCCCCCAGGAACCTCGGCCCGTGGCTGCGTCCCCGACACGTCACACCGGTGCTGCCTCACGTGGCTCGTCCACGTCTGAGCGGCCAGGTGGGGCGATGGTCTGGACTTGGGGCTTCCTAGGGACCAAGGTTCCTCACCTCTCCCAGCGTGGGTCCCAGCCCAGTTCCCAGCCTGGGAGGGAGAAGGAAGGCCTGCCTAGCCAGCCCCTCTCCACCCTAGAACGCCTCTGTCCACCCCAGCGTGGGCACAGGACGGTGACCATCCAGGGCAGTGCGCGAGGGGGCCTCCTGATACACCGCCCATGTCCTCTGTTCTGCCCGACCCCAACCAGGCCTGTGGACACACAGGCAGAGCTGCTGGGCGGATGATGTGCAGCCCCGGAGACGGGGGCAAGACTCTCGGTCCAGGGGCGGGGGAGCCGCCTGCGGTCTCTTCATCAGAGGCTGGAGAAGGGGCCACCTGGGGACGGTCCTGGGGAATCTGCTCTGCAGGTCAGGGCGTCCGGCCACCAGCGATGCTTTCGCTGGACCTGGAGTAGCCGAATCACAAGTCAGAGGGGGCATGCAGAATGGGAGACGAGGCTGGAGCTCAGATGACCCATGGTGGGAGCCCAGCGGTGGCCCAGAAGGTCTGGGCCCACAGTGCCAGGGTCAGGCCACTCCCAGCAGATGCCCTGGATGTCCGGGCATTCGGTGGGGAAAAGGCCTGCAGAGCACCCAGGGTGGGAGGGCTGCCGGCTTGGAGAGCAATGTGGCAACAGAGACAGGGTGTGGCCTGAGGACGCAGCCTCCGGGGGCACATCCTGCATCCAGCAGCCGCTCCCCAGGGCCGCTGGGCTGAGCCCGCCTCGTGGTTGCCCCCAGCCTGAAGGCCACGGCGCCAGGCAGGGCCAACAGACACGACGTTTCAGATGCACTTGCCTGCAGGAGCTTTATCCTCTTCCTCCGTTTCACAAATGAGCACGCAGGCTGGGAGAGGCGCTTGTGCCAGTTTGCGTGGCTGGGTGGGGTGACGTCTGACCCCAGGTAGGCTGGCTTGGAGTCTGGACCCAGAGCTGACACCTCGCGGCGAGGCTCCAGTGTGGGGCAGGCGGCCTTCCCCGTGGTGCCCAGGCCTCTTCGGGGCGGATGGGCTGGTCTCGGGCAAACACACCCAGTGTTGGGGCTGCCCGGCCCCGGAACGTCGGATACGCAGCATCTTCCGTCCCAGAGCCTGTTCCCTCTCAGGCGGCGGAGGGCCCCCACCCCTCCGACTGCCCTGCCCACCTCCGGCCATGTTGGGAGTGGGTGACAGATCAGAGGAGGCACCGTCGTGGCCACAACTGGCCCCCCTTGTGGGGCAGCAAGCCAGACACACAAGGCCCTGGTTTCAGAAGGGGACTGACGGGCAGACAGCAGTGAATACGCAGATGGACGGCTCAGCCCCTCTGACGTGGGCTCTGAAGGAGCACGGGGAGCGGTGAGGCTACTGAGGGGCTGGGGCTGGGGAGCCGCTCTCAGCAGTCAGGGAAGGCCTGGCTGAGCCGAAGGTCGTGAGTGCGAGGGGGCTGGAACTGCAGGTGCAAAGGCCCTGAGGCAGGAGTGACAGGCCCACTGCAGGGGCAGCGGGGGTGAGAGCCGGTGAGGAGGCACAGGCCAGCTTGAGCTGGGAAGCGGTGCTCTGTGGCCAGGGACGCGTGGGCAGCCCCAGGCCCCGCCCCCGGGTGCAGCCCTGTCCGCAGAGGGCCGCCCTGCGGCCCCTCTTCCCCGCTGAACAGGAAGCCCGGGCACGGGGCAGTGTCCCCGCTGACCTGTCGGGGGGAAAGAATGCACATGGTTTCTTGCATGTGGGACCTAAGGCCTTCCCCCCGGGAGCTGACCTGGGCCTCCCAGGGGCGGCCTGAGAGGGCGTGGGCCCCGCGGGGAGGGGCAGGGTTATCGGGGGTCGCTGGTAACCCTGTCTCACTTCTGCCGCCTCAGGAGTTTCCTGGAGACCGGAAGCTGCCTCTCCACAGACTGATACAGGTACTGTCGCCCCGTCCACCGCGGGCCTGCTCAGAGCCCGCTCCCCCCACCAGTGCCTGGGGTGTGGGCCCCAAGGGGCCCGTCAGAGAGATGAGCCCCCATTTGTCACTAAAATGCCCCCAGGGGCAGAGGTAGTGCCGATACCTCCCCTGCAGACTGGGGTGGTCCCCAGAGTCCCAGCTGAGCGCAGTGCTCTCAGCCGTCCAGGGCTGGTGGTCCCCCGCGGGCTGGTCTGCCGCTGCAGTTCCCTTGACGACCGGGGCTGCAGCCCCAGGGAGAAGCTGCCGGTTGCTCTCTGCTTCCACGCTGTACTTGGCAGAGGTTGTGGGGGTGGCTGGCGTGAGGGTCTTGCGTCTTGATGTTTCTGTAAGACGTTTTCAGGAGAAAGGTCTAGACACTTGGTGCAGGGGAAGCCCCGTGGATGGGGCAGCAGGCGGGCGTGCGAGAGCAGGACCCCGCAGCGGGTCCTGAGCGGGTGGCTCGTGGGGGGTGGGGGGAGGTCTGTGCTGCACAAGGGGCTGACCGGAAGTGACCGGAAGTGGGCTGAGGTGCCTGCTCCCGGGAGCGGGCGGGCTTTGTGCAGCCCTGCCAAGCGGATGGGGCCACAAGGCCGGGAGGGCGAGCCGGGGCCTGCAGCAGAGCCCTCCTGGGGCCTCAGTTTGGAGAGAGGGGCCGTGCACACGGACCTGGGTCCATCCAGCAGGGCTGGGCCCGCCTGCAGGTGCGACACGGGAGGTGGTTGTGGTGACCGGCTCCGACCCCGCAGTCTCCGAGGGCTGCGGTCGGCCCGGGGGGCACGGCTTCCCTGAGCGGCTCGGGGCAGGCACCCCCAGGGGCGGACAGTGGGGCGGAGGGCGGGGTGGTCCGCTCGCGTCCCCACACTGGCGCTGACGTGCACACGGCCGTGCCACACCCAGAGCACATGTAGCGGGAGCAGCTGTCGCTTCCGGGGCGGTGTCCCGCCACCCCATGGCCACGAGGAGCTCTCTGCCCACTTCGCACACGGCGCTTGTTCAGGACGGTCCGTGTGAGCAGAGCCGGGGCTCGAACCCAGATCCCGGTGTGACTCCGCCTGACACCGTAGCGCACCCCTCACCCACAAACCCCCCGAACACACACACGATTCCAGAACATTCCCTCCCTGCTGCCCTTCTGCACTCAGACCCTCCCACCGTCCCTCTGCACGTGGGTTCCCACGCACTCACGGCCACAGCCCCGCGTTGGCACCTACGTCGTCGCAGTCGCGGTCAGCAAGTGGCCGCAGTGACCGCCAGCCCTCGAGGCCGCTCACACTCAACCCCACGGGCCGTGACCCCCTCCCCACGCCCTCGCGGAGCAAAGACAGCAGGGCCCCTCGCCCCCCCACCCCAGCTGTTATTTTCTGAGCCCCACAGCTGCCGGGAGCGTGGGAAACCACAGCGACCCCTCCCGCTGCCTTTGCATGGCCACTATGTCAGGGAGCAACCCGGCAGAGAGAGGAGGTTTTAAGATGATAGGTCAGGTGGTGATGCGTGTGTGGACTGGAGGAGCACGCACAGCCCAGCCGTTGCGTGCTGTGGTTCATCTGGACCCTGCTGAGGACTGTAGCCCAGGAGATGGCCTCTAACCTCGGGACTGTCCCCGGGAGGTCGGGGGGAGGCAGCTTCTTCTTTTTTTTGGGGGGGGGGGTTAAGGGTTATTGATTAGTGTTGTGCAAGCACTTTTTGCTGAAATACTCTCAATGCAAAGGATGGTTAAAGAATTGGGATTCAGGGTGTCTTATGTATCACAGAGTCGCTAAGTCGTGTCCAGCTCTTGTGCAGCCCCATGGACTGGGGCCTGCTAGGTTCCTCTAACCACAGGATTTCCCAGGCAAGAGTACTGGAGTGGGTTGCCACTTCCTTCTCTGGGAGGCAGCTTCTGTCGGGCTCCTCCTGGGAAAAAGTGCGGCGTAACCTCGAAGACGACTCTAATCACAGAAAACAGACGCAGCACGTTAACGACTGTAGGGTCCTCTATGCGCTTTGAGGCGCGGCAGGTGTCAGACTCAGGGCTCCTGAGTTTATTTCTGAGACAGTTAACGTCTCGAGCGTCTCTCCTGTTTTCCTGCATCCTGAATCCCCTCAGGGCGCACCTTCCAGGGGCTTCTGCAGTGGCTGAGCGCTTGATGGCAGCAACAGCATTTGTCCACAGCGCTCTAAAGCAAAGAAAAGGAGGGTAAAGCGCCTCCTGAGGGCTTCCCAGGTGACCCAGTGGTAAAGCGTCTGCCTGCTGGTGCAAGAGAGGCGAGAAACTCAGGCTCGATCCCTGGAAAAGAAAACAGTCGCCCACCCCGGTATTGCTGCCTGGAGAATTTCACGGACAGAGGGCTGTGGCAGGCTATAGTCCGTGGGGTCACAAAGAGTGTGACATGGCTGAGCACACGCACACACACACAGTTGCACACGGACACACACACACTCACACACACACACGCACACACACGCACACTCACTCACGCACTCACACACACGCACACTCAGTCGCACGCACTCACACGCACACACACGCACTCACACATGCACACACACACATGCACACATGCACACTCACACGCACACACGCACACACACACATGCACACTCACACACATATGCACACTCACGCACTCACACACGCACACTCACAGTCGCATGCCCACTCACACATGCACACGCACGCACACACATGCACACTCACACACACACGCACACTCACTCACACACACGCACACATACACAGTCGCACACACGCACTCACACGCACACACACACTCTCACATGCACACACGCACGCATGCACACACACACAGTCGCACACACACACGCACGCACACACACACATGCACACACACACTCACACTCACACATGCGCACACATGCACACTCACACAGTCACATGCACACTCACACTCACATGCACACACTCACACACACGCACACTCACACACACGCGCGCACACTCACGCACTCATACACACACACAGTCGCACGCACACTCACACTCACACACATGCACACACACACAGTCACACATACTCACTCACACAGGGGGCATACTGATGGGAGGGCAGTCAGGGAAGGCGTCTGGGAGGAGGTGCCATGTAACAGGCCCCAGAAGGAAGGGGCGAGGGAGGGCGCACTATCTGGAGGAGCGGCGGGCGCTAACGTGGTGTGCCCCCGCCCCCTTGGGACACAGGTGGAGCCCGGCACAGCGGGCCCGTTTCTCAGATGAGGAGGCTGAGATCCGGGGGCCAGAGGGGCGTTGGTGCCAGCCCGGGGTTTTTGCCAGCCCGGGACTGGCCCCTCCGCCTCCCACCCCTCCTGGCCCTGTTTGCCCAGCGGTGCCCCGGGCTCTGCCGCTCTGTGGGGGCCCCTGAGAAAGTGGACCCTCGGGCTCTGGTGCCCTGGAGGCCCGCTCACAGCCTGGGAACTTGGGAACAAAGGTCCCAGCCAGGAATCGCCTCCTTTCAGAGGCACAGCCGGCTTCCTCTGCCAGGCGTGAGAGGGAAGCTGATGTCCACTGGGGGAGGGGCGGGCGTGCCTGGGAGGCCGGTCCGTGGCGGCATTCCGGGCCCTCCACCTCCCCACAGTGCCCCCCCCCCGCTCTGTCCGGCCTGGCCAGCCTGGAGGTGCCCAGCCCCCGCCAGGCTCCATGCGGCCCACCACTGCCTCGGGGGCTCAACTGAGCCATTTCGAGGGCCCTCCCTTCCAGCCGTCCGCCGCTGCACTTCCGACAGCCGCTCAGCAGAGCCGCCGGGCCGGGTCACTCCTGGGGGGCGGCCTGTGCTCTGCGGGGCGTCTACGGGCCTGTACTGTCGCCCAGCCCTCTGTGCAGCCCGCACATCTCCAGGCCCGGCCAGCATCCCCTAAGGACCCGGTGAGGGCAGACTAACGGTGCTCTCGAATCAGCTAGTCTGCTGATGATGGAGGCCAAGGCTCGGGGAGGCAGTGTGAGCTGGGATCAGGCCATGGGACGCCGGCAGCCTGCACGGGTCCTGCATGCCCAGCACTCTGGGGGCACCAGCTCCGGTCTGAGGCTGATGGGCCGGGACGTTGTCCCTCACATGCCGAGACGGGGTCTCCTCACAAGGATGCTGTGGGGCCTCTATTGAACAAACCCGGGACCCCAAGTAGCAGGCGGAGTGAGTGTGGCGTGCCCGGGGGACCCTTCCACCCTGCTACAAGACTCTCCACTCCTGCAGCATGCGCTGGGTGCCCGCAGTGGGCCAGGCGCTGGGCCGGGCGGAGCCAGAACACCCACACAGCAGTTGAGAAGAGAAGGAGGTAAAATCTATGGGATCTGCTGGGAGGATAGGATGTCAGGAGACAGCGAGGGTGGGCGTCAGGGGCTCCGACGGCGGGGAAGGTCTCCAGGCGGTGCTGGCCATAGGACCTGGGGTGGAGAGGAGTGCGGGGCAGGCAGCGCTGGCCGAGGGGCAGGTTTGGGGCCTGACGGGGCCTGGAGGGCAGTCAGATGGTGAGTGGGAGCCGGGGCCCCTCAGGCTGCTGGGCAGGCGGGAGCTCGGCCTCTGTTCTGAGGGCAGCAGGCAGCGGACCACGTGCAACAGAGGGTTGACGTCTTGAGGTCCCCGTGGCTGGAGGGCGGGGAAGGGCCACAGGGCGTCCGGAGCAGACACCGGACCTGCCAGGAGGAGCCCGGTGGCTCTGCATGTCACGCCCACGACGCCGCGTCCCGGGCTGCAGACTCCCCCACTCCCACCCCGCCCGACAGCGCTCCGCTGGCCACGGCCCCTCAGCCCAGCAGCCACCCCCGCCCCACCCCGCTGGCGACGGGAGTCCCCTCCCGGCAGCCAATGAGCAGCTGTCATCAAGGTCCCATGTTAGGTTTTATCAGTGTCTCCCCGTCACCCAGGCAACCGCGGAGGGCCTGTCAGTCTCTGCCCGCCGCCTTTCAGAGCCGGGCTCCGGGCACGCCATGTGGCGGCGTGGTGAGTTTCTGCTCACGGGGGATTCCGCCGGACACAACTGACCCGGC